CCAGACTTTGGTCAAGAAGTTGAAGAATATGCACCACCACATCATCCATAAGGAGTCCCATAAATATTGCAGTTCTTAATTAATTTTATAGCTGGAAAGTACTTATATGAATCGATTAGGAGGATCAGTTCATATTAGAAACAATCTTTTTGAAATCGCCCGGCCATCGTAGAACTAGTAATCTTGGCGTGCATAGTTTCCCTGTATTGAGAGGCGTTGTCATAACGTGCTGAGCTCTAATGGGTCTAAACCTGCTGGCCGGATTTTTAATAGCGTTCTTCTGCAAGACACTACTGAAATATATACTCTCTCCGGTTTATGAAGATTATCCTACTTCGCCAAGGTTAAGGTTCTAACCGTGACACTACAATAGATAATGAACGTCTCAAAATAATTTCAACGTGGCGTCTCCGGCGCGGTAGTTGAAAAAAAGACTTTTTCCTTGCAGAAATATCAAAATAAACTTGATCTGCACATCGTGGAAACTTTGAAGAAAAATTTCATTTATTCGAAATGAGATAATCAGCGACAAATTCTCAAAAGAGCCGCGAAAGGAGCATGGTCCGAAGCTCAACAGGGTAATGCCTTTCGTTGGAATGATAGAATGGTGGATGGCGGAATATTGTGCAACGAGGAATGCTTTGTTGTATGAAACGAAAGTCTCAAAAAATGGAATTGCAATGAAATGAGAAAATGATTGTTGGTTAACAGGCAGATCAAAATTAAAAGAAGGCTAGTTTAGTCATTATTGAAGCCAAGGAGTAGACCGAAAGAGGAACAGTGAGGTTCTTGAGGTAGCCTCTATGAGTTATCCTTACTATTACTTTTCTTATCATCACCACTGTCAATATTATTGTTATTACCAATATGATTATTTGTTGCAATTTAATTATTGGTTGAGTGTCAATTATTCACCATATTCTTGAATCATCTTTCTCTTGTGGAACAGGGCTCTCATAAGTATGTGGGACGTGGCAGGTTTTCTGTTTTGCACGCGAGCCTAATCTTCTGCAACGTTACCTTCTAGCATTATCATACAACTGGTTCTTTTCAGTGCTATAAAAAATATTGTGCTATATCAGTAGTCATATGCATTCTTAACTACCTATTTTTTTTCTCGTTGGAAAAAGAAAAAACGTCTCGAGGAAAGAGGTATCATATTCGGTAATCCAAGGCTATGATCTCCTTTCCCAATAACGACTTAAAGCTCTAAAAGGACAAAAAGGATGTTCCCTAATCCCTAAAAACTGTTTTCAACTTCCTATATTTCCTAAGACTTCCGAGAGGGAAAAACCTCTAGAATTCCCAAAGAAATTCCTTTTAGATATGCTGGAAAAAGTCGTCCAAACCATAAATAATGATAATAATAATAATAATAATAGTAATAATAATAATAATAATAGTAATAATAAAATAGCATTTGCTATCTGCGGGTCAAAGGAATTTCTTGTAAATAGGTAAGAATGCAAAAGCATCAGAGACTCCAACTCCCAGACTCCGGACGAAAGATAACGAAGCCTCAACCACCTAATGACCGAAGACAAGTTATAATTATCGCACGTTGGACTTTCTTGCAACATGCTATCGTTTTTTCCGTCGGCCCTATAAATTTATTTCGAAAATTTGTTTCATCTTTCTCTAAAACACCAAGCACTGAAAATTTATGAGCAAAATTTGTCTCATGAAGCAAAATATGCTTAAAAATGAATCATT